TGGAACAGCTTTTGATGTAGCGTTTCACAAAGCCTAACTCGAAAGTAAGTTCACTTTCGAGCCGCGTTACGTTGACTGAGAACAGAAGAACTGCAAAAACGATACAAATCACAAAGGTTCTCCGCAGTCTCACCACTCCCAGCTACAGTTTTGTAGTCCTGTAACTAGAGGGTCCTCCCAGGCGGACGTGGGATCCCTCCTGCTCCCTCTGCCTGGGACTAGTTGGTGTTACTGCGGGAGACCTGAGTAGGTTTGACAGGCCATGTTGCTTTCCAGCAGGTTCACCAGTAGGAAATGGTACAGCCAGAGCGTTAAAGCACATAGGAATGCACCTCCACCCTTTTACGAGGTACATAAGGATATCTGGCTAAAATGATGGGTTTTTTTTTTTAATAAGTGCTTTCAGGAGGTGGAAGATGCCCTGCGGGATTGCCGCCCAGCAGCGTTCCTCCTTAGGCTGCACAACGTCTGCCTGCAAGCCGCAGCCTGAAGTCAAATATAGCAGAGTTAATAAACAACAGAAACCCATAAACATCTCGGCGAAGGGAGGATCAGGCAGCCTGCTTGGGCTTCCAGACCTCGGCCACCGGCTTAGACCAGCGGCACCCACCGCCGGGCTGCGCGGCCGCCCGTTCCTCCCTCCTGCCAGCCCCGGGGGCTTTCCTCGCCGCTCCCGGGCAAGCGGAGGAGGAAGAGCCGCAGCAGCAGCTCCTGCCCCGGGGCCGGATCGGCGGCCGCCGGCCAAGGTGGGTGGGCGCACCCCGGGGCCGGGGCCGGGGCCGGGGCCGGGGCCGGGGCCTGCCCGCCCCTCCCGGGCCCCCAGAGCGGCGGCGAGGAGGGGCGTGCGGCGGGGCGGGCGGCGGATGGCGGCCCTCGGCATCGCCCGCTGCCGCTGACCGCGCCGCCGCGGCTGGCCCAGGTGAGAGCGGGGCGCCGGGCCGGGCCGGGCCGGGCCGGGCCGGGCCGGGCGGCGGGGGGGGGAGCGGGAGCGGCGGCTGGGGCCCGGCCGCGGTGTGGGGGCGGCCGAGGCAGCCCGCTCCCCGCGGCCTCCCCCGGCGGGGCAGGCCCGGCTGGGCGAGGGAAGGCCGCGGCGTTGTGAGGCAGCGGGGCGGCGGCGGGCCGCTCCCTCCCGCCGGGGACGCGCTGCGCGGCCGTGGGCGCTGCTTTCGTTCGCAACCCCCCCCCCACCTCCCGCCTAAGCCCCGTTCTTTTTTGGGGCGCGGGCTGACCCCCCGGGGGCCGCCCTTCCCCCGAGCAGCGGTTCCCCGGCGGAGCGCCCGTGACCCCCGCGGTGGGCCCCGGCTGGGGAGCCGGGCCGGGCCCGGCAGGAATGCCACGGTTTCGGGGCAGGTTTCGGGGATCCCGTCCCCCCCAGCCTCCCCACCCCTGGCAGGAGCGGGGGAACTCCTGCCTGGGCAGAGGGACAAGGAGGCGAGTGCAGGAGCCTGCGTTCGGGCTGCCCTTGGGTCTTGCGTTCGGCAGATGGTCAGACCGTTTGGCTGAGGTGGTATTCACGGGGCTGGAACTGCGCTGAACCAGAGCTGCTTATTTCCCCAGGCCTTTCTAGCTTTCTGGGGGCTGAACGTGTTGAATCTACTTGGTACTTCTGGAAAAAAAAAAAAAAAAAAAAACAAACACAGAACTCTGGCCGTGGAATAACAGGCTTAAAGCATGGCCGCTTTCCTCAGCGCCTTTTGGTTGCCTAGGTACCTTACTGCACCTGGAGTTAACTGCACATGTTAAAACATCTTACGCCGACCCTCCGTTAGGATTCGGTTCCTCTCGATGGCCTGAGCAGAGTTGAGATTGTTGCTGCTGGAAGGAGGAGCTCGCATCTCCCTCCCTTCCTCCTGCCTGTCTGCGTGGGACTCTTTTTTCGGGCTGATTCAACACATCAGTCTGACAGAGGGCTGGTGGAATTGCTCGTAGGAGGTTCTGACAAGGCCCCAGGGTCTTTGCGAGGGGAGACGAGACCTCTCCTGTTTAGCTCAACTGCTTGTGGAAATGCAGCCTTGACTTGATCAAGTTTTATTTAGAATGCTTCTATGCCTTTGCAGGAAGCTTGTAATTCAAGAGCTATCTTTTTATTTGTTTGAAGCTTGGTGAAATTTTGCTTGTACTTTCAGCCTGCTGCTGGCTGATAAACCCAACTTCTGTGCTGCGAAGCATGCTAGATGAATTTCTCTGTGGAGTGTGGGGAAAACCTACCGTGGTTGTTTTTGTGTTTATGGTTTGTTTTGCCATTTTTTTTTTTTTTTTCTAATGATAAAACTCTGCAAGCTGCTCGTTCTGATGGGTGACATCTTCTGGGTTTGTACCCGGAGAGTTTATGTAGCTCCTGTGTAGGAGGAAACTGCTGTGACGTCTGGTCTGTGTGCTACGAGTGGGGAATTTCAAGGCCATCCAAACCCGGATTAAAAGTTAGACAGAGAAATTCCCAATGGAGAAGTTGAAATGTTGTTCTAGTTCCTCACACAAATACCAGGTTGCTATTACAAAGGGATGTTTCAATCCACAGGCAACTTAGTCTCTGAAATTAATGTCCTAAAGAAGACAGAAGTTCAACTGTCCGAACCAGTCATACAAGTTTTCAGTATTTTTGGTTTGGTGTTACCGGTGTTGTAAGAGGGGAAGAAAAAAAAAAAAAAAAAAGAGCTCATAGGCTTGCCCATTTCTTTTTTTAAAATCTGAGGGTTTTGATGATGTCATATGATGGTTTTGAAATTCAGTTATATTTTTAAAGCATAATTATTTAATTGGATAAGTGGGGTTGGAGTGCAACAGGACAGTTTTATTTGGATCATGAAACCTTTTTGTGTATGTTTTTTGTATTTTTAGGAGCACGAAAGTCTTCAATGTTTGTCCTGCAATTTTGATGGAACGTGTTGTAGTAAGCATTTTCTGCAGTGGTTTGCAGTCCTCACTGTCAGGCATGTAAAAATTGCTTTTCCAGCTACCTAACTAAGAAGTAAAATCCCCCTCGCTAAAGGAGACACACCAGAGCAAATATTTTCTGCACTGTGAATTTCCATTTACTAAAAGATGGAGAACTGTCGTTCTAGTTTTGTAGTTATTATCCTCTTAACACATGAGCAGAACTGATCTTTGGGCTGCTACCGGGGCTAAAAGCTGTGAGTACAAGTTGGAAAGATAGAGCTAGCTAATCGTGAAGAGGAAGACTCAAGAGTATAGGGGCAAAATCATCGTCTTCCCGTCATCCCATTCTTTTTAGCAGTAGGAAGAAGATGGAAGAGAAATGTTGCTTGTTCTAGCATTGAGAGGTGCTTCAAAATCACTTTCTTCTCACAGAAAATGAAGTTTCTGAATGGGATCTGTGGCCTTACAGGAGACCGTAAGTGGTAAATGGAGTTATTGGGCCTTTTCTCTGGGGCTTTGTCCCTACCTGTAATGGCGCCTTCTTCTGCCCGATGACCTTAGTCCTGAGACTGAGTAGAAAAGCTGGTGACTTCTTCAAACTCTCCTTATTCAAACAAGCACAGAGAATACCTCTCCTCCCCATCACTGGAAAGCACGGGAGGTTTGCTTACGCCTCTCAAAAATGGCTTTTACTGTGAAGTCTCACTGAGACTGTGTCGGTCCTCTTGTGAAAATAACTCAGAACTGACCTCACCTTTCTTCCCTGTAGTGCTCTTTGCTTTCCTTGGATCAGTGGTATTGATTTTCTTGCTCTTCTTGCCCTGTGCAGCATGGATCTTCCCTTGCAGCTCTCTTCTTGGCTCTCAAGTTTTCTACTTTATATTTCTATGAGGGGACAGAAACCTTAGTAGTAACATCAAAAGTAATTAAAAGAGCTCATTCATATGCCTTGCCATCACAGCAGTACTTTGATGCTCTTTTTGGTGATACATCTTTTAATTTATAAAATTAATTTTATTACGTATATGTGTATATATGTATATGAATACATATTGTATAGAATGGAAGGAGTTTATTCAAGGGAAGCATCTTTCTAATTATAGCTCAAAACTAAGTGTTTGAGAGTTTGGGCTAATACAAACTGTCACCTATTTTGGTCTTTATTAGCTATTTATTTTCTTAGATCGTGCTGTAAATTATAAGGTGTCCGCATCTGAGAACTTGGCTTTGGTTAGAGGCACTGGGCCCCTTCACTGAGACTTTCCAGTAGAAAGGATTACATGGTAAATCCTCTTCCTGTAGGTCCTGTCCGCAGAAGGAAATTGCCCAGGCATGAATGGTGTGAGAATGGAATTGTAAATAGAGATTGGAGATGAGTAAAGGTGGTTAACACGCTTGTTTCATGATGAGTTATCAAGGATTATGGGCAGCTGTTTTTTGGAGTATTTTAGCTTTGTGCTGAATAGCTCAACAATAACACGTTCACACGGTTATTTAAGACTATTTAAGACTATTGCAGGACCAAGAGAAAACCTGACTTTTTAGGTGAGTGGTGACTCATCTTTGGCTTTGCAGGTAGAGCCACATCACGTATTCTGCGGCTGAAGAAATTCTGAAGCTGGGCTTTTTCAGTCGCCTTTAATATTGCCTTCTTCCAGTAGCAGTGCATGGGGTTTGAAGCTAAGCTTTGGATGAGGTGAGCAAGTGGACAGCAATCAAATCTTAGCAGGGCGTATCAGCTGGGTATCTTTTGTGAAAATCCAGTTTCTGGGTATTGCATCAGTGAGGAAAGATGGAAGTCTTGAACTGTTATTATGAGTACATGAGTTATTTTCATTCAGAGTCCTGGCTGGGTTTGGCAAGCCTTCATTTCCAGCATTTTGAGTCCCGAAAATGGTTCTGCCTGAACACTGAGCTGTTCCTGTGCCTGCCATCTGGTGGCCAGATACCACAGCTAACTGGACTGGCAGCAAAAACCCAGCCAAGGCTCTGTCTTAAGGATGCTGGAGAAAAAAAGTAGATCCTTTTCTCACTGTCTCAGACGGAGATCGGTTTTTGCATGGTTTCCCTGGAGGAGAAATAAATTTTATGAGTTCTGTTACCATCTTTCTTCTTTTTCCTAGGAAATGATGGAGCTCCTAGAGGAAGATCTCACCTGTCCCATTTGCTGTAGCTTGTTTGATGACCCTCGTGTCCTGCCCTGTTCACACAATTTCTGCAGAAAGTGTCTGGAAGGAATTCTTGAGGGAAATGTGCGGAATGTGCTTTGGAGGCCGTCCCCTTTCAAGTGCCCCACGTGCAGGAAGGAAACTCCCGTTACTGGAGTCAACAGCTTGCAGGTCAACTATTCCCTGAAAGGTATCGTGGAGAAGTATAACAAAATCAAAGTCACCCCGAAAATGCCTGTGTGCAAAGTGCACAGTGGGCAACCCCTTAACATTTTTTGCCGGACAGACATGCAGCTGATCTGTGGGGTTTGTGCCACCCGTGGTGACCATACAAAGCACGTTTTCTGTTCCATCGAGGAAGCTTATTCCCAGGAGAAGCGGGCTTTTGAAACCCTGTTTCAGGGCTTTGAAACTTGGCGCTGTGGAGATGCCCTCTCGCGGCTGGATACCTTGGAAACCAGTAAGAGGAAAGCTCTGCAGATGCTGACCAAGGATTCTGACAAAGTGAAGGAGTTCTTTGAGAAGCTGCAGCACACGCTGGAGCAGAAGCGAAATGAGATTCTCTCTGACTTTGAGACCATGAAGCTTGCAGTGATGCAGGCCTACGACCCGGAAATCAATAAACTGAACACGATTCTGCAAGAGCAACGGATGGCTTTTAACATCGCGGAGGCCTTCAAAGATGTGTCTGAACCCATTATATTTCTGCAACAGATGCAGGAGTTCAGGGAAAAAATCAAGGTGCTCAAAGAAACCCCTTTACCTTGTTCCAGCGTGGACATCAGCCCTACAATGAAGAGCTTTGATACCAGCCAGTGGAATGGGATAAAACTAGTTGATGTGGACAAACTTTCCTTGCCTCAGGAAAACAACACTCTCAAATTCAAGATTCCCTCAGTCTTTTCACGCAGATTTCTAGTGAATTCTCTTATTTGCTTGCTTATTCTTGCTGTCACCAGAATGTCCTTTGTGGAGTCAGTCGTTGACAATCTCCAGTGCTGGAAATCTCAATTCTTTACAATTAGCTTGTCCTATTTGGCAGATACAGTGGAGATAGCAGATCATGCAGTGTTTTACTGGGAACAGATGACAGATGGAGCTTCACTTCTAAGGGAAAAGTGTAAAAACTATACGTTGGTTGTACTGGATAATGTTGCACAGTTTGTGTGCAAATATAAACTGTTGTGAAGTCCCTGCTGAAATGTAAGAACTAAGAGAGAGAGCTGGTGAAGAAAACATAGAACTTCCTAAAACTAATTGGGTTTTTAAGACTTCCAGTGAAAACATTCAAAGATTCAGAATGTTTCCAAAACATTCATACTGTTCACGTAGTTTGAGTGCTGGTAAACTGGAAGATGAAGTGGAGCTTTGAAAAACACTTTGGTTTGGATTCTTCTTTCAGTGGTGCTTATGGGAGTATTATTCACTGTAAATCATTTTTCTTACCAAAATACAGGGCCAAACCGTGTACTTAGTTTAATGTTAATGCAATTGTAGAACAGGATGAAAAGTGTCACTTCCTAGAAGGTCATGGTTAAAAAATGTTTTTTTTTCTAACTGGGAGGTGGTTTGGAAGGAGAAAGAACAGTTGTGATTGAGCGCTGTACCGAGAGGTTTGTTGAGGACTGCTGTTCCACTGCAAACACATTCTGGAACCGCTTTCTAGCTGAGGATGTTACTTCTCACTAAAAGATACGAGTCTTTTTTTTTTTTTTTTTTATATGATCAAATGTTGTAATTATCCTGCAAATTCAGGTTACCGTAGATACCGGTTATCGTTTACATGTTCTATACAAAAGGATATCTTCAGGGTAAGCCTAAATTCTAGGGGCAAAGATAAATCAGTTGAGGTTGATAAGGAAAGAACGAGCTGCAGAATAGCACGTACTTTGCAGATAGTACACACTTTGCAGTTTACTTCTCCAGCACCAAATTGTTGGGGTAACTGAGGTGTCTTCTGCGATCCATGTTCCTCTGAAGCCACGCTTTCTCAAGAAGTGGCCTTAACGTGGACAGTTCAGTGCGGTGAAAGGCAGGCACAGGCCAGCCACAGGAAGGCAGCCGGCAGAGCTGGCAGGTAGAGCAGTTTTCTCTCCTGTCCCTCTCTGTCTCTCCAGATGGTAATTCCAAAAGCCAGGAAAAATGATGGGATGATTCCTTGGAACAGAGTGTGTAGCGTGACAGGAGATGTTGGTGTTTGGAAATGCTTTAGCAGTGGAATATATAGAGGCTCTTCTACTGTTACTGCATTTCTGTGTGCCTTGCTTCGGGAATTAATTGAATTTTCTGAGAGTATTGACTTGGCCGTAGGATAACAGTTACTTGAAGTAAACCGTAAGCTTGAGTTCTCTGAAGTGCCCTTCTTTAAGAGCACGTGGTATTGAAATATATTGCTTGAAGCACCTATAACCTGTTTTGGCAGTGGTCCTATAAAAGGCAATATATAGAATGCAAACATTTAGTTGGCATTTCTGGGGAACAATTGGAATGCATGCCACGCTTTGGCAATATTCACTGGCCCCTCTCGAGGTTTGGTAAAGTTGTGACAGTCAATTCTCCGTCTCCCTGTAGTCCTTGCAAGCTGTTCATTTCAAAAGTAAAACATTAAATGCCAAGATTCAAAGTTTCCAAGCAACCAAACCCTGCAAACAAAACTATTGTAAATGATATTTACATCTTTGTTGCCCGGGAATCCTGTCGCTGCTCCACACCTCACTCCACACACTTGCTGGAAGCACTGAATGGGTTTTGCAGCTGCAGATGCCTCGCAGTTTAGGACAGCTCGAGTCACAGACACGTAGATCGGAGAGTTACAACTCCTGAGTGGCTGAGATAGCGATGAGTAACCGAGAGGCGGTGGTTCTGAGCGTGGGAGGTGTGAGATTTGTAACCCGGGCTTCTACCTTGCAGCAGTTCCCCGAGTCCAGGCTAGCACGGATGTTGAACGATGACGACCGGGAATTTAAACGGGTGAACGGAGAGTTTTTTGTGGACAGAGATGGCACTTTGTTTAGTTACATCGTGGACTTCTTGAGGACGCTCCAGGTCTCCTTACCTCCTGATTTTTCAGACTATCAGAGGCTGCAGAGAGAAGCAGAATTCTATGGGCTCTACCAGCTGGCTGAGCTCCTGAGCCAGGAGCACTTGCTGAGGCCGGGGCTGGAGATCTTAGAGGTGCGTTTTTCTCTCCAAGAGACGCAGGCCTTTTTCCGGATCTTTGGTTCCTGCAGCGCCACCGTTGAGGCACTAGCTGGACAGATCACCGTGTTCACAGGGCAGCAGTTGGGACAGGGCTGGAACAGCCCTTTTCCTTCTCAGAAACCACTCGTTCCACTTCCTTTGGAAAGACCTTCTCATCACGACGTGGTTTTTCAGTGTGGTACTGACTACTCTGCCGGTGACCAGTTTGTGGCCAGGTACTCTCTCTGGTGTGACTTCTCATTAGGGAAATGTCTTTGTGACTTCCAGTTCACGAAGTACACACTACGTGCTAGAAAAGTTCATTTCAAAGAAACTATCAGACAGCTGTCTGAGGGAAAAAAAATATGTTTCCTTCTTTCTGCTAGTTTAATGTTACCTTTTTCTCATTCTGAAATACTCAGCGTAATTTCCGTTACGCTGATTTGCCTCTTCTTCAGCTTTCTAAAATGCTGTTCTCAATGTTTGTTTTTGAGATTTGTTGGGTCTTTCTCTCTCTCTGCCCTTTCCTCCTCGCTTGCTCTCCCAGACTTTAGAATTTCACGGCATCAGTGACCTTCTAGAGGACTTGAAAAACACAAAGTAAGATGAAGCAAAGGAAACAAAATAAATAAGGAGTGAGGTGCTGGGGAAGCCTAAAATTTCCACTAGCTCATGGTCCAAAAGACTTCCATATGGAAAAGAGGGAAAAGAGCGTGGCTAAACAGGGTTAAAAACACCAGTGAAACTAAGATAGCGATTCAGGGACTGGAGAGGTTTTGTAGAGCCTTTTACTGAGGGGGGGGAGAAGGGGTGGATTATTAACTATATGCAACACGGTGGGTTTTCTTTGAATTCAGAGCCAGGTTCTGTTAAGGTTACTGTATATCAGTGATTTCAGTGATAGCAGTATTGTATTCTAATGACAACTTATGTTTTCTAAACAAGCTTTTGCTGGATGTTTCTATTGTACGGAGACATATTCTTACTGTATAAGAAAATGTGGCCTACTTTGTCCTCTGTGGCTGTTGGAGCATCTGGAATTTTGTGGAGATTTCACTGAAATATTTTCAGAAGCGTTGTTCTATCTGAATATATGAATCAACACTGCAGTCTTTTGATTATTTAAAAAAAGTAATAAAGTTTATCTTTTTTCTAGCTTTCTTTAGCTGAGCAGGTAGGAGAAAAACTACTTTGCGTTTGTGGAGCAACGTATATTTATGTGCCATACCTTAACTTTATAATATATTACTAATTTTAATGGACTAACAATTGGTTGAGTAGGTTATGGCAACTTAAATAGTGGGGAGAATATTCCCGAGTCTTTCCTTTATTTCTTCAGACTTGGTAAAAATTTTCCTCTGTGGATCAATAGAAGAGCTTATCTTGAGTAATGAAACGAGTCAAGTTGGATGACGTTGCCTGCTGAATTTCTGACGACTTAGTCTTTGTGGTGACATGGACACTTTGGCCTTTTTTGTGCTTTCGGCGAATGTTTGGCGTGCTTTCCTGTGAGCTACAGAGCAGCTTCACCCCTGTCAGCTTATGCATTTTGTAATAGTATTTTTACCTGACTTCTGCTCCTTGAAGTGTCTGGGTAGAATCTTAAATTGTACTTTATATCAAGTAAAATCATTTGAGGCAATGTGAAAATGATTTTCGTACTGGTTACCACAAGACCTGCTGTACAAGGTAATTTTGCAATAAATGTCACTGTTTGTAGAGAGAGAGATCCTGTGTGATGAGAAGTGATGCTGTTGGGGTGAATGTGACTTCGCTGTCCTTCCCATCGTTTTCTCTTACCTGAAAAACTTCTGTGGGATTATACAGAGCATACTGATCACTCCTCCTCCCTTAAATGAAACGAGATGGAGGTTATCAGCACGGCTGTTTCTTAAGAAAGTAAGTTTTGGTGTGGGGGTGAAAGAGAAGTGCTTCCTTCCCAACACCCAGCTGGGTGAACTGAGAATTACCGTTCTTCTCACGAGGGAAAGAGTTAAATTGTCCTTAAGGGAGGAAAAAAAAATATCTGGAGCCTCGGTTGCTGTAAACCCGTGCAACTGTGCTGCCCTGCGCTGTCTGACCTGCTTTGTTTTTTAAAAAAAAAAAATGATCCCATCCTTCAAGAAGTAATTAAAGCGTGTTGTAACTGTTTTTTTGCTGTGGTTTTTTTTTTTTTGTTTTTTTTTTTTTTCTTATTTTAGGTATGTTTCCATAAAGCCCGATAATAGAAAGCTGATTAATGGTACTAATGTGCTAGGCCTGCTGCTTGACACTTTACTCAAAGATGGATTTCACCTCATAAGCACCAGGACGGTCTCCAGTGAAGAAAAAGTTGAATGCTACAGCTTTGAAAGGACGAAGAGGCCGGGGAGCCTTACAGTCACCGTGAACCAAACCCCGGGGAGCTGCGCGGCAGCAGAGGCAAAGAGAAGCCAAGTGCAGAAAGGGAAATAAAGGCTTTGCCTTTCGTCTTCTGAAGGTGGGAGAGGGGTGTGCCAGCGCTAGTGGCCTTTTTCTGTTGGCTTCTTTGAAACTGCAACTATTGAGGGAAGTAACAAACAAACATTTTTTTTTTTTTCTTTTTTTTTTGTCAAGCGTTCGGAAAAAAAAAAAATAAAAAAAAATTGTGCTTTCCTGCCTTTTAGCACTCCACCCTCTTCCATTCTAAATAAAAGAACCACAGATTCAATGCTGGTTTTGTGGACCAGATTCCAGCATTTCCAAGGGTTGTTTTTATTTTTCTCGGTGGCTAAAATTTATATTCGGACTTCACAAAAGAATCACCCAGTCCTTCCAGAAAATCGTTTTTGGGTCCTGTGCTAATTTGCAAGTAGGTTTTAAGCACATGGCAATACCTGGAGAAATAGTTTGGAGAAGTGGCTGGAGGAGGAACGCAAACCTCAACGACTGAGCGTTGCTTCTGCTTCCAAGAGAGACGCGCACATTGATTCTCTCGCAATTAGCTGAAAGCAACGTCACGGAAACATCCCCCGTGACATCGCTGCGTGGCTCCGGACGTGAGACAGTGGCTTTGTGAAGCCACCACTCGTGTCCGTGAAATAATGTGTTGCTGTCCCTTGCAGAATACTCCTCTGCCCTCTCCTCGCCGCTCCGGGGGCGTTAAGCTGCTCTTCAGTGCTGAGAATTAAATGCTGAAGGTCTTTGTGAACAAAGGGTGGGTTAGTTTGTAGAGCTTTAACTATGAAACCAGTGCAGATGGTTGGAAGAGTTAATACATTTTTCAGTGAAATAGGACAAAGGGTCTCTTCACGCTCGTGGAGTGCAAAGCAATATTTAGGAGGAAGGCTTGGCAAAAATGGGCTTTAAAAACCTTGGGGATGTTCGCCCTGTACCGTGCTTTGTAAAGATGCCAAAATCAGCTCAGGTACCAGGAGAGGTGAGTTAACGAGGCCTTATAAATTCAGAATCTTTTGTCCTCCCTTCAAGGCAGGGAAAGAAGATGGCAGTAACTTCAGGGATTCATTATCTGACTTTCCTTGCTGATAAAACACCGTCTTTCCAAAGCTACAAACAGCCAAGTGGAGCCCGTTTGGGCTTTCTTGGCTGACTAATTAGATCTGGCTTTGGATTAGCTTCAAAATGTGGATTTATTCCTTTATTTGCAGCACTTAAAAATGGGAGTGGGTGGTAGGAATCGCCCTTCTCTTTCTTGCCCTTCGAAGTTTCGATGAAATGGATCTTCCCAGACCGGTGGTGCCGCTCCCAGACATCTCTTTTGCTTCGACTTTACTGCGCTTTAGCTTGACACAAGTTCAGGATTTCCGTAGCAACAACGAGACCCTCTCTGCTTGTTCTGGAGCTTCCTGGGTTGAGAATAACGCGGATGTGGCACGACGTCTCCTAAACTGCTTATGGGTTGTGTAACGTAAGGAATGTTGAGGAGTGGATGCTTTCAGTTCAAATGGGATTTTTTTTTTTTTTTTTTTCTGTGTCTGGAATGTCCTCGTGCTCAGATTTGTCTTGATACTAAGCCATTTTTTACAGTGAGAACCAGCATTGACTGGAACCATGTCCTCAGGGCTGTGGTCGAGTCCTCATCACCGGAGGTTTTCCGGGGTGCGAGATGATCTCGCCTGGGCTCCCTTCCCCACCAAAGGTTGGACCGATGATCTTTCGAGGTCCCTTCCAGCCCGGGCTGTCCTGTGAAGTTCACGTCCTGACTTCCCAGAAATGTTCCCCGTTCCTGCGATCGGGATAGGGCTGAAACCAGTGAGCATGGAGTGAGTCGCTGACTGCCTGCGCGTATTGTTGGGGAGGAGGCTTGCCAATAATAGCGAGAAACGCCAGACAATGAGTGACAGCTTTTTACAGGGAAAGGATAAGAAATGGACTCGAGGCTGGATTTAAACATCACGCCTTCAATGACTGCTGATGGCGGCAGCGTAAACTGAGTGAGACTAGTTTCAGAAGCCCTTGTAGTAACAAAATTAAGCTGCTTCACCCACCACAGAAATAGTGAGTTTATTTTGCCTTGCTGTAGCAGGCACTCTGGAAATTGAAGTTTGGATTCCCCTCTTTTTTTTTTTTTTTTAATAAAATGAAAGAAAAGGTGAAATATTTCCATTTTTACAAAGCCCTGGAGTTTTAACCTACGTGTCCTGGTTTAAAGCCAGCCCAGCAGTCAAACACCACTCAGCCGCTCGCCCACCCTCCTCCCACCCCGGGGGGCGAGGGAGGGAACTGGAGGGGTAAAGGGAGACTCATAGGTTGAGATAAAAACACTGTAATCATTGTAATAAAACAGGGGGGGGAAAAAAAAATAACACTAGAAGGTACAAATGGGTGATCCCAGTTAGCGATCCCGAAATGCCAAGAGCCTGCGATGGCAATCCTGGCGGCGAGGGCCAGCCCCCTCCTCGATATTGTGAGCGTGACCTTGCGGGACGTGGGATATTTCATGGGCTGATTCGGGTCCGGTGCTCTGGCCGTGCTCCCCCCCCCCCCCCCCCGCCGCCTCCGCCAGCTCGGACGAGAAAGAAACAAAATTAACTCCATCCCCCGGCGAACCCGGGACGCTGTGCCGGCACTCGGCGTTGGCGAAACGAGGATTCGGTGCAACCATTTCAGGCACAGCTTGGGGTGGGTTGGTGCTGAACGCTCGGCTGGTTCCCCTCGGGGAGGGGGGGTGTGTGTGTGTGTTAATTTTTATTCAGCACAAGCGTCATTCTGTGAATGTGCTTTTTGGGGGATCTGGAAAAAACACACAGCAGTGCAGGTCTGCGTCCTGGGGAGGAGCGCACGTGCTTTACCTTGACCTCGTGCAGCGGCGGCCCGCGGGACTACGCGGCTTTTTCAAGCAAAGCAAGTGGCTGTTGGCCAGTCTGGCTTCCCCGAGTTCTTCCAGCATTTATCCTTTCTTAGCGCTGAGCTGAGGAGTGGCGCCGTCCGTCGCTCGTGCACCCGCAGAGAAACACCACCGGGCGCTTCCGCGATGCTTTCGTTTTGTGCTGGCTGGGTTTTCTGTTTGTGGTTTGTCGGGTGGTTTCTCTGTTTAACTCGTAGTTGCTTAAAAAAGTTCGATGGCGCGCGCGCCTGTCGATGACCTGACAGAAATCTGTTGGAAGCCTCCAGCTGAGACCAGTAGGACAACCGTGACTTTTAACCCAAGATAATTTGGTGTTAAGCAGGCTCTTACCTTCCCGGATTTCTTCACGCAGAAAGCAGAAGCGGTGACGGTAGAGCTACAGGCGCTGGGAGTTTCGAGCTACAACGAAATGGCAGGAATTCACAGAGGGAAGGGGTGAAACTACAAGTCCCAGTAATTTTAAAAGCTGCCTGTGCGTTCAACTGAGTACTTGGACCCAAATGTTGGCTGGCGAGTCGGGTCTGGTGTCTCACAACATGATCTCTGCTGGACTGGAAGCCTGTTGTGGGCGGCTTGGTCGTGCTTTGACACTCGGCTGAACCAGGAGCTCTGGTCGCTCGCACCCAGCTCTAGTTTGGCTTAAATAGGAATGGGAGTTTGAAACGTTTGGACGTTTCTTGCGGTTAAGTTGGAATTTGTGCTCCCTGACACGATCCACTTCTTCAAGTCACGGCCAACTTTCCCAGGAGAATCCCCTTTTCCTGGGAAGGTGCAAAGTTTGCCGATTTCACTAATTTTACTGCTGTATTTGCCTTTTTATTATTGCTTGGATCCAGTACAAATGTGCAAACTGTCCTACTGCCTGAGATGCTAGAAACGGGCTGCCGTAGTGCTGGGGACAGTCCTCTCGCACGCTTGCAGTGAGCAGTGAGCTTGCTTCTGCTTTCTAACACCCAAGCGGAGCCTGAACAGTAACATCATGTCCTGGGTTGAGTGAGTGGTGGGGTTTTTTTGGTGGCAGGGGAGGGGGCTATCGGGGCGGCCTCCTGTGAGAAGCTTCTCGAAGCTCCCCCAGCTCCAAGTCAGCTCCACCTCTGCACCAAAACTGAGCCCATCAGCTGTGCCTCTGCGATAACGTATTTAAGAAGGGACGTGGTGACGGGCAGTGGGACTGGTGAGGAGGAGTTATGTCAGCTGTGCAAACACCAAGGTCAGTGGGGGAACAGAGGAAGAAAGGAGGGGGGAGGTGTGCCGGAGCAGAGACCCCCCTGTATCCTGTGGTGAGACGGCAGGGCGGCCCCCCCTGCCACCCACGGAGATCTACGGTGGAGCAGACATTGATTTATGGCCTGTGGCTTCCGCCCGGTTGATCAAGGTGCTGTACCTGAAGAAGGCTGGGGTCTTGTGGGAAAAGGCAGCCCCGCTGCTGTAATTCAGCGCTGGGAGGATTGCAGCATGGGGGGATGTCCCACGCTGGAGCAGCTTGGGAAGGGCTGCAGCTGTGGGAGGGAATCCAGTTGGAGAAAGTTGTTGTTCCACACCAGAGCAGTTTGGGGAAACATTATGGGCCATGGGAGGAACTCATGTCGGAGAAAGGTTGTGGAGGACTGTCTCCTGTGAGAGGGGGACCGCGATGGAGCAGGGGGAACAAGTTCCAGCAGCTCCCCCCACCGAAGATAAGAGAAGTGGCAGCGCTGCCTGCACCCCCCATTCCCTGCCCCTGCGCCACTGGGGGAGGAGGTAGAGATATCGGGAGCAGAGCTGAGCCCGGGAAGAAGGGAGGGGTGGGGGGAAGGTGTTCTCAAGATGTGGCAATGCTTCTCACTGTCCTACTCTGTTATGTGTTGTTAGTGTCTGTAATAAATGTATGTTCTTTTTTCCTTCCCCTAACGAGTCTGCCTTTTGCTCGTGCCCATAAAGAGGGATTTTTCCCCATCCCAGTCCTATCTCGAACCCCAAGCCTGGCTCTCTGTCCCTTCTCATTGCCGGAGGGGAAGGGAGAGAGAGCGGCTGCGTGGTGTTAGGCTGCCGACCAGGCCTAAACCACGACGCATCACCAGGGGGAAAAGAAACTAAACAGATAACACCATCGTCCTGTCCTAGCCGGACCGCAGTTTACGTGGCAGAAGGAGATCATCCAAAAAAAAAAAGCGAGGGATTTACAAAAGGCGGACGACTCAGAAAGACACTACCTCATCTGTATTTTCTTTCTGCTTTTGATCACTTTGCCCTCCTTTACGGCTGGATTTCATCCTGTATTTCTACATTCAAGACTGTCAGGGCCTTTACCTGTGCAGTCTCGTGGGGCGTGTTGGATGTCCCAACAGGACAGAGCCCCCACGCTTTGTCCATCCCCCCTGTTCTTGCACCGTGTTGACTTCCTTGCCTACTGATCAGTTATATTTTTGTCCTTTCAAGTAACGTCTTGCCCGCTTCTTCACACGCTGGGGAGTTCTCTTACATCCTGCTTGTCTCTTCTGGGGACATGTCATATATTCACGGCCTGAATTGCTCAGTAATCTGCTGATACCTGGAAGGAGAAAGTCTGATGTGAAATATCTTCCTGTTCTTTGGGTACGGATTTCAGTATGACAATTCTTGCGGGTTTTTGTTCTTTTAAGAAGGGCGGTCACTGCGTCCTTACAGGTTCTGCAGTCAGTGCTCACAACAGTGTATAATTGACTGAGAACAGATGTTTGAATAAAGCAATTGCAATTGAGACTATGTTTACATTAAAAACAAAACAAAACAAAACAAAAAAAAAGAGATTGATCTCTCAGCACCGGCCATAGTACTGGGAAGTTTCCCCCTCTGCTAAATGATTCCAAGCCGTTTTTCACTTCCCTACATAGTTGAATGTCATGGAAATTAGTAGAAGGCTCCACCCTAAGAAGGACTATATGAGGAATTAACAGCTACATGTCAAAAGAATAATGCTAGAGTAATTGCATCCCGTCCTGCTTCTACAGGCTTGCAAACAGGGGCAGTAAATTCTGTTCCAACTTTGGAGAGACTTTTTTCCACACTGGGCCGTCCCCACTTTTTACCTATTTTGGTTGTTTTCCAGTTTTCTAATGCTAAAAAAATAACCAACTTATTTAATCTGAGCAGAGCAAGGCTGATGTGCTTTTGTCTGTCTCTGGAGGGGGTGACTCTCAGGTGTATCCAACACAATCTGGGTGACACTTCGTTGTGTTTCACGGCTGAATTCGGTACCTGAAAGCTGCCAAAGTGGATCAGAAGTCCTGTTTGACCTCACAACGAAGTGCTCATAACTTTCCATATATATTTTATTTTATACTTTTTTTTAAAAAAATTTGTTCCCAGATTGCTGGGAAGTATTATTGAATATTCATTGGGAAACAAGCTGGGAGCTATCCAAGAGGGGGAGGGAGACTCACTGCCTCTTACTCCCTCCCTCTGATTTGTGCTGAACCATCGCCAGGCTTTAACTTTACAAGGTTTATTTTTATTGATTTTCAGCAATAAACAGTGGGAGTATCTACAATAAAAGATTTACAGCGCATCACGAGGAAATACAACTCCCTACCAAATATTATATTGATCTATTCCCAGATGCTACCGAAACAGCATATAAAAGCCCAAACGAAGTCCAGTGATGGAGAACTTCCTCTCTCTAGTGACAGATGCGTATGACTGTTATGTCTTCAGAAAACAATAAAAGGGAAGGGAGTGACTCTACTTCTTTGACCATATCTTCAACAGCCCAGTTAAATCTGTCAACTCAATGTAATCCACATAAATAAAGAATTTGGGAACCAAGGGAACTGCTAGTGCCTCTGAAGATTCCCATTCTTTGAAGCTGCCTCTCCTGCTGCAGTCAGGCCATAATTAGTCACAGGCGGCCTTGTTGTGACGAGTAAATGGATGGACCAACAATGATTTGAATAGTCTGGAACCGGCTGGAGATATGCCTGGAGCCCTGAATATTTTCAAACGGGTGGGTGGGATGTAAATCACTAGTCATCATATAAAATACAAATAAATCTGACTTCTATTAAAAAAAAAAAAAAAAAAAAAAAAAAAAGGAACACGAGTTTTCTAGACCATCATGTAGTTTCTGCTGAAATAACCCCCTCAAGTGTGATCAGATGTGTAAATTTTTCCAAGAATCCTTCCTCCA